GAACCACCCCCCGACGGCAGCCTCCCCCCTCCCCGGGCGGGATCCAGCCCCCCCGACGGCAGTCCGACCCCCCGGGCGGGATCTCGCCCCCCGACGGCAGCCCACCCGAGGGGGGTGCTGCTGCTTTTTGGCGGAGAAGCGCCGACGGCGAGCGGGGACGGGTCCCGCACCCTCCCGCAGCGTGGCTCTGGGGCGAAAGGGACCGGCGGGAGGATGCGCGGAGGGGCGCGGAGGGGACCCGCGGGTGGCAGCGGCGGCCCCCGATGTCCGTGTTGCGCGGGTTGCCGCGCAGGGAAAGGGCAAACGGGGCAGGGCAGGAGGCGAGGGCCCCGGCAGGTCCCTTCCCTGCTTCCCTTCCCTCCCTCTCCCTTTTCTCCCCCCTCCCCGGGGGGGTTTATCTGGCGATCTATCCTCCTCCCTCCGAAGGTGAAGGCAATTTACCAAGTACAAAAAAAAAAAAGAGTCGGGGGAGGGAGAGGGGGGGAGCAGGCTGATCCCTCTCTCTGAAGTTGCTCTGGAAAAGGGCTGTTTCATTTCTGCCCCCCTCTCTCTTTCACATTCCTGCAAGATTACCAGCCAGAAATAGCCTACGGCCCCCCACTCCCTCCCCACCCCCCAAAAAGGAAAAAAAAAGAAAACACAGAGAAAAGGCAAAAAAAAAAAAAAAAAAGAAAAATTACTCGAGATTGTAATTGCCAGTTAGGTTTTATTTTAAGACAGCAATGAAAAACTGTGAAGAGCGAAGTGTTACAGAAAGCACAGCCTGGGTGGATTGGAAAGGAAACTCCTTGGGATTTCAGGAAGAGTGCAAGGATGCCATCGCCAGCATCTCTGGGGAGCTCCATCTCGGCAGCCCTCCCAACCTGCAGCAGTATTAAACGCAAAATTTGTGCTGGAAAAGCCGGTTTGCGTTAAGAATTTCTTGTTTCTTTCCCACCTTTGGTCTCAAGCTGTGGCTTCACCTGAGGAAAGTGCACTTCGAAGCATGCCTAGCCCTTTCTTAATGTAACTATTATGTTCGTAGTTTTCAGGCTTTGCCCCACTGATTTCTAGAATTGTTGGCTTATCTGGTTTCGCAGAGCTACAAACTGGTGGAAAAAAAAATTAAAAAAAAGAGAAGAGAATAATAATATAAAATGCTAATAAAAAGACTCGACCAGGAGCAATAATTTAAAATGCACATTTTGCTTTGGATGCACTGTTGTTCATATAAAAGTTGTAAATATTTGTTTATTTAAACAGACTGAAAAGTGCAAAATGGAGATGAACAACGTGCATTTCTTTTTTTTTTTTAATGTACAAAACATTATATGCACTCGAAATGTTATAATTTCTAATATTTTTAAAAGTTTATATTTGAGTTGTACAGAATTAAGCATTAATCAAATATTTCATCCTTACTTAACATTATCGTTTCCTTAAGATATTATTGCAAGATTTAAATTCTGTGCTAATGATGGAGAAAAGAACTTTTTTTTTTTTTTTTTTTTTTTACTGTCTACCTCACTATAATGCAAGTATTTACAACTCTGAAGTTATCTGAGGTAAATTAATATTCAGAACATTTTTACAATACACCTTTACTGGACGATACTACAACTATTACTGTATTATTAAACATTTTTTTTTCCAAAAAGTCAACTTGCTTTTATATGTTCTATTATTTGGTGAAGTAAGTCTGAGTTCTCAAGTAAACCTTGGCTCCGGTTCTAAAATGCTGCAGAGTTGAGTTGGAGCAAGTGCCACTTTAAGACGTACCTAAAGCCATTCCTCCTGTCTGAAGACTTTTTGTACTCTCACAAGAACCTTTAGTTTTCGTCTCTGGTTTGTGCCGGCGGCGTAAAGCTGCGTTGTGTTTTTATGCGTTTTTATGCGATGATTACTGTAAGTGGGAGAACGCGTTAAGGGACAAAATTCAGGCAAACCTTTGTAAATCTCATCTGTACTTGGGCGCATTTATGCTGATGACACTGTATGATGATGACAAGCAAAAGACAATGAATGTTTTATAAATGATATTTATTTTGATGCAATGGGTAATATATTTATTAAATATTTCCTGGCTATCTCGTAGATAATGAAGAACTATTCAATGAGTAGGTGTTTCACTAAGAGAAGGATTCCCCTCCTCTCTCGCAGCGATGCACGGGGAGAAGGTGGTGTGAGCCCCGCTGCGGGGTGTGGGGTCGGGGAGGGGAGGGGGGGGAAGCCTCATGTTATATGCAGAAGGGCTGAAAGAGCTGCTCACCTTGTGGAATGTGTTCGAAAACAAGGTTCTTTTCATGGAAAGTGGAATTTTTTTTTTTTTTTTTACCATATCACAAGGTCTGATCTCACACGTCTCTCTCTGGCCGACTCTCACCCCCTCGCACTGGTGCTCGAACAAAGGAGCCCAGAATCGGGCCCAAGAGCTTGAATAGCAGCAGCTGAGAGACCTGGAGAAGAGTCCAGCCTTGGAGCTGGTGCAACTTTCAGAGGAATATTCCTTTTTTAGTACTTAATACTGTTTCAGGTTCATGACTGATAGTAGATTGGGAAACAGCAGCTTCAAGAAGAGCTTGAGTTTTGAAGCCCGGCTCAGCGTTTGCAGCTGGAGGTGTTCTGACCAGCATGAACTTTGGGTGCTGCTCCGACCAACCTTCTGCTCTCTTTATGAAGGAAAACAATGGGAAAACGACATCTGAAAAGACTGGAATATGCTCTCCGAGGAGAAGCGATCAAGATGCCGTCAACTGGAAATGAACAAATTTTACAAAACTCACAGATAGCGAAGGCTGAATGAATCATCTCTTCACTTGGATGTCCAGCGAGCAAATGAATTGTCACCTGTACAGACAACGCTTTGGCTAAAACCGTACACACTGAGATTTTCAATCCCATTTCCTTTCCGTGTAAAAAACCGACATGGCTTCTCCTGCAAGCCCCCACATCGCACACTTGGGAGCAAACTGTGCTGTCACTGGGCTGTCCTTTCTGCTCCACCTCTGAGGTGGCTTTGGGGAGCTTCAGCAGACAAAGTTTTACTGTGGGAGGCCTAAGAAGTCTCTCCCCAAAGGAAGTCCTCAAAGAAGCAACAGAGGAGGTTTTGCTGTCCTGGATGTACAGTGTAGAGCAGTTGGCACCTTCTCCTACATTAGCTGATTTTTTGGTGGCATCTTTAATGGCCAGAAGAGGTTTGAAAGCCCTTTGTCCCAACTGTCCCAGCTGTCTGTGCCTGTTAACCTCCAAGGAAAGTGGGAGGACCTGAAAAAAGGGAAAAAGTCAGAATCTGCAGTATCTGCTTTGGAGACAAACCTTTTGGATTTTACTGACTAGAAGAGAGGAGACACTGGCCTTTCTGAGCATGTGCTCTAGACGCTAGAGCTAATATACTGCTTGCCCATTTTGGCAAGTTCTGCTATTCCTAAAGATGGGATTTCTGCTCTTTTCCTTTTTTAGCTCTGCAATATTCTTTTGCACAAAACTGAGAAGGAGCAGTGCAGTGCCGAGGGGGAGAAGGGAGAAGATACAGCAAAGCTGATCTATGGTCTTTCCTTCCCTGGACCTCCCTTCCTCTCTCCCACCCTCCCCCCAAGAGCTAACCAGTCAACTGAACAAAAAATACCAGTAATTATTTTTTCAGCTTTTACCACAAATACTGCAAGCCTTTGTTAGAGAGAAATCCAAATATGGAAATTCAGCGGATGCGCAGCTCAGATCTCTTTGTCCTGCCAAAGCAATATGAATTTTCTTTTCCATTTCTCAACTCCCCATGCTCAAAATCATATTTTAAAAGGGGAAGTGATTTCTTTTATTATGTTGCTGGCCAGAAGAGGGAGCAGAATCTATGAAGGAGTGGGAATAGACACCGGCGGCAGAAGGCAGCTGAAGTCGCTCTGGTGTGATACGTATCAGCAGATGTTACACCGTTCATCCATCGCACGGGCCGCGTTGCTCCAACACAAGAAAACCACTGGCTCATCTTTGAAGTGTAGATATGCATCGGAATAATTAAATCCTGAGTATTTGAATGAAAAAAAAATAATAATGCAGGCTTAAGGCCTTACTTTGTAAGAGCTGCAGCTCCTTTTTGGATCGCAGACTGTCTCTTACATCGATTCATGGGAAGGGTGTATTTTGGTAAATGATTTTTGTGGGAAAATGCTGGACCTCCTACCCCATGAAGAGTAGATCCAATCTTCCTCTTCATTGTCTCCGTGTAGATGAGAGGTCAGTTTGTTTACTGAAACGTATAAAATAAACTTGTTTATTCTTTGCACCTCAATGTTTAACCTCAAATGTTAGCTGAGGGACAGAGCTGATCACGTTGTATGAAACAACGTCCTTCATAACCTCTTAATCTTTGCTGCAGAAGCACATCTGAGGCTTTGAGGAAGTCGAGTGACTGAACTTCACCTTTGTCAATCATTCAGAGGCTGGGCAGCAGGACAGCAGATTTCAATAGCATGTAATTAGTGCTTTTGCAGAGTGGCCACGTGCTCTAAAGGAGTATACTCCCCTAGAGCTGGGTCCTCGTGGCAGCAGTCAGCTATATTATACGATTAGATTTCCAAATATTTGTTCTTGTTTCTTTGCAGTGTCAGACCTGTTGTAAACTGAGGATGTTCCAGCTGTTTATAATTGTGAGGGAGAAGAGTCAACATATTATCCCTGCTATGCTCATCATCTGCCTATTCCTTGATGACTGCAGCCTTGCAAAGTACCACTGTCTTAGCTAATATATGTTACTATTTAGTGGATTGTACTGCTGGGAATTAGACAGGGTTCTCCCGAGGTTGTAACCGGAGCTAATTTCGCACGACATCAGCCTGACGCAGAGTGTGGGACCCTTTACTTGCCCATATGTGAGCATTTTGACAAAACTAGTGTTCATTTAAACTATGTACGCCATCAGCCCCTCTCTCTGGAACTGAGAAGTCTGGAATTGGAGTGGGGACTTCTCTCCCATAAGACCACTTTCCTACA